CATCATGTGTATACATTTTGCTGATCATTATCCTTCATTCTTGGCTATTGGCATTTTGGCTCTGCTTGTTTTTTTTCGTGCTATCAATCTAATATAACCAATGAAAGATAATTATTAATTGCTTTTACTTCTGAGCACTTATGATATAATATGTTGATGACTAAAGAGGGAACCCTGAAAAGAGGCGGGGACCGGCGCTTGCGCCGCTACGATAATGTTAGCCACTACACCATATCGGATTATATATTTTGCTGGCGGCGTTACACCTATATGTGGAGGGGAAAGGGAAGAAGCAAAGGGAAGGACGAAAGGGGCGATTTAAGAACATACCTCAAAGCCAAACATGTTCGGTTCGCCCGGGAGTCCGTCTTAAACCGATAGCATGAGACAAAGTACACACATTTTCATTTCAGCCCTTGGATAAGCTTCTTTTTACCTGTTAATTAGCATTATTTCTGTAAAAATAATCTCTCGTACCTCAAATCTTCCCTACTTACAGCCAACCTCCCCGCCGCACCCGATTTCATACCGTGTCAAAGCTCTCGGTAGAAACCCCCCAAAAAATATTAGATAAAAGCGCGAAGGGAAGGGAGGGAAATAAGCAGGATGAGAGAAAGGTGATTTAAAAACTTACTAATTACCTCGAAACCGACTTTAGTATCTCGCGGTTCGCCCGTCATTCCGTGTGATACGTCGCTTGCCAGTGAGACTGTCATTTCGGTCTTTCGATATGCTTTCCGCCACATAATTAGTTACACCATGTCTGTAAAAATAATCACTCGCACCTCAAATACTTCTCCCTGGACATCCTACAACTCACTTCTACCCTCCTTATGTCCGAATCAAAGCTCCGGCTAGTATAATATGTTCATTCTTTTATTACAGCCAGATCACATTGTTTACTACAGCATTATTCATTAAAGGAAGTGCGGGGAAGCACTAGAGTTCTAGTAGGAAAAAAAATCAAGTATTGTTTTTACTGGTTAATGGACCTACGCCACTATTGGACTTATTCTTGTGGTTCTCAAGCTCTCTCCCACGTGTAACAAGGTATAAAAGGAGCCTTGAAGTGGTATACCAACGACACATTTCATTCTCTTCCCCTTTGTGCTTAAGGTCAGCTCCGAGCACCATGTGTCGTACCATTCTTAAATGTCCAGGAAGCCAGAATGAGATAACAACTAAAGTTAAAGTAAAGCGATGACACAATTATGAGAAATCCAAGCCATTTAATAGCAAGGTCAGAGTTGAAGAAGCTCTCCCCATTCATTGCTAGGTAACCACTTCTTCTCTCCTTCGACCTCAGCATGGAAGATTAAGGGAGCCTAACGCAGAATGAGAATCAAAAAATATTATTGAGTCGAAGCCTAAAGAACGTACCTTAGAAAATTTACCCTCCATGATATCTCTTACACCTTTTTCATTTACGCTAAAACTGACCTCAGATTTATTCGGCGGCCCTTTTTCTGTCCTGGACGGCTTAAATAGAACTGGAGCGGTGCTGTTGACACTTCCTTCTCGACTATATACAATGTACATCCGGAAGACGAGATAAATCGATAGTAAAATGACATAAGTATCATCAGAATGATAAAGGACAATGGGAACTAGGAATGGCAAGGCTCATTCATGCTAATCGGAGTCGAGCTGGCAGCATGGGTGATTGACAATTCCCTGAACAACCTGAGCAATCGATAGTAACCTTAGCAGTGTTAGATTCTCTGATATATCATATCTATTATCATCGGATCTTTGACTTCTCCCCAC